TTAGGACTGTGTGCTTGCCAGGCAAGCACTTATTCAACTGAGCTATCTCCCCGGCCCCTGTTTTCTTAATTTCTTATACATTTCTTTTTTTCTTCTTCCAATTTTACATGCATATATCTGGTAATATGAATAACTGATTGGAAGACAAAACTATGTATTGCAACAAATACTGTGAAATTCGTATTTGTTAAGTGAAAATCTGTATCACATAACTTTTTTGTTTTAATTCTAAGTTTACTCTTTAAAAGATTAAAAAAAAGAAAGAAAGAAAGAAGACGGGCTTAGCCTATAGAGTGTGGATATGGATTGTCTGTGCTGGTACGACCCATGTTGTGGACGGGCCATGACCCGTACCATTTGGCCATTCAGGAGCCTTGCTGTGCAGTAGAAAAAAGGAAAGAGAAGGGGGATTGGTCTGCACTGGTCCCTTCGTTCTCAGCTTCCTGAGCTTAGTGATCTGTATGGCTTGAGTTAACCCTTTACCCTGCTATTGTCTTCTAAGGCTAACCAACCTGATTCCATCTTAGCCTCTGTCCTTTATTAGTTGCCTACCTATATGCTAACTGGCTATATATACTACCTACCCCAAAAAGGTGGCCATTTATTTTGGTGAAAAAGACAAATGATTTATTCTAGGTCAGCTCCAAGATGCAGAGGGGCCTGTCTGCTTTAAATCACCGTCAAGCAGGTCTGAACAGGCCGGGGAGATGGCTGAGTAGAATAAGCGCTTCCCTGGCAAGTGTAAGGACCTGAGTTCAATCCCCAGTTCGACCAAAAAACAAAAACAAAACCAAAAAAATCCACCCCCCCAAACAAAAACAGGTCTGAACAGGTGTGTTAGGGCCCTTCATGGCATGGCGAGGAACAGTGCGGGAGAGAAGACAGTGGCGCACTGTTCTGGTCAGGCTTGTCCCTTGCTGAACCCAGCTCTCTCTCTCCCTCGCTAAGGAAATGAAACTGGATGTGACCTCCTGCTCCTGCTGCCAGCATTTGTATGTTCTGTATTCATCTGGGCTGAGGAAAGGCGGACGGAACAGCCACTTACATCCTAGGCCTGAGAAAGTCTGGCGAGGCCACTTAGCACTAAAATAAACACGCATCTTCTAAAGTTCCATTTTGTGGTGCTGGTGCACAGGAGGACCCTGAGGAGGAGCCACGCCCCTCAGCTTGGCTAGGAAGATCTTGACTTACTGTTGCACAAAGACATTGCAGGATGTGTCTGTGAGGGGGACCACTGATTTATTAGGTAGGCTTAGAAAGCAAGGCACGATGGGAAGGCCTGCGTCTCGAGGAGCTAAAGGGGCAGAGTTCTTGAGGAAGAATAGGCCAGCTTTTATGGAGGGGCTGCTGTGGGCCGGGGAGTGTTTATTGTCTCAGTTGTGGTTTTGCAAAGTTTGGAAAACTCGCTGCTTGAGAGGACAGATCGTTTCTCCCAGATGACTGCTTCTGCCCGGCCACCTCGGCCTCGGGGAGGCTGTGCTGGCCTCCACGGCTGAGGGCTGCAACTGGGGACTTCCAGAAGGACTTGCTTGGAGGTGCTCGCCAGAAGGACTCTGTAAATCTCTTAGCTTTATGTCTTTACTCTTGAAAGGGGATAGAGTAAGTTATATAAATTCAGGGCTGTTCAGTCCTGTATTGGCAATTTTTAGACAAACATGTCCTAAATGATTAATAGGGCTCCGTGCGGACTTGTGCGAGGATCTGGCTCAAAGCTTTAAAGCAATAAAGGAGGAAGATACAAGTTCTGCTTCTAGTTGCCTGCTGAGCATCTGAGGTCCTCATGAAAAGCCACTCTTGTTATGGTTCTGTTTTGCTTTGTTTGTTGTTTTAACAGAAAAAGCGGTTTTCAAGTCCTTGACTGCACTGAGCAAAACAAATCATGCTTTTAATGAGGAGCAGGTTAATGGCCTACAGTCAACTGTCCCTATGGTGTCTTGGCCTCAGTATTTTGCCTCTTTCTTGAGATGTAACATCCTCCCTTGTCGAAGCTCCATTCAGCCTTCCTGACCCAACAAGTCTCCCGAGGGCCACCCCAGCATGCTGTACTCCAGACATAGACCTGCTAGGACTTCATGCAGCTATCTGCCAGCTGGTGTTTTTGGCTGTCGTCTTATAAGCTTCACGGTGTCAGGGGTCTTATTTTATCCTTCCTCTGTGGCTTCTGTACCCTGGAATAGTGTGAGCAAAAATCTTCACTCTGAAAAAGCTTTGGTTGATCAAAATGATTGACTTGACCTTATTCTGTTTCTGAGTATTCTTTCTTTGGTAATAGTGATCCTCTTGTCCCAGCTAGTAGTGATCCTCCTGTCTCAGCTAGTAGTGACCCTCCTGTCTCAGCCTCCCAGGGCAGGGATTATAGGCATGTGCCACCACACTCAGTTTCCATGGCACTGTGAGAGATGAGGTAGCAGGCATCAAACCCAGACCCTTCCACTTTCCAGGCAGGTGCTTCGACTGCTGACCTATCTCCCCTTCCCCATTCCTGAGGATTCTTAAGGAAGAGTTAAATTCCAGCTATCCCAGAGTTACAGTGAGCTCCATGCATGGGATATTATACTGAGCTAAGAGCAATACTAGCTTGGGTAGGCTTGCATCTGTGCGTGTGCGCGAGCAGAGGCTGGGACTTAGGGAAGGGCTCCTTACAGCAGCGTCTGTGGCTTCCTCCAGAATAGGCTCAAACTTTGCAGTTGGCCCTCTGAGGTCTCCTTCTGGAAGCATGGCCCATCTGGCTTGGTGAGAGGAGGCCTGTGTCGGAGGGCTGACCAGGACCCCACCACATAGTGGCTTCTGAATTTAATGTTGATAAAAGAATTTCAAAAAAATAAATACATAAATTTTAAAAAAGAATTATAACTCATTACATTGTCGTAGTTGGGAGGGAAGAGGTAGTAGTGAAGGAATGGGGAAAAAATTCCCTATTGCTGACCCAAGCTTAGGATTTTCATGTCCCTACACTTCCCAGGGGAACTTTAAGTCCATTGCACAGAGAGGACTTAATCTCTGTAGCATCCTCACTGCTGAGTGAGACAAGGAATCCTGTTGTCTTAAAGTTAATACATGTTCATGATCCGGAAGTACTTCATACACATACCGCATCTCGGTCATGTCTGCTTTCCCTTCTCCTACCCGTCCCTCCCCTTTCATTTCCTAGATGCCCCGCCATCTTTACAGAGCCTACGTTCCTGTGTTGACCATCTCTCCTTCATTTTGCTTTTTATTTATGTTTTGGGCCTCTTGTATCTGAGAAACCGTGCAATATTTAACCTTCACTGATTTATTTTACTTAGCATTATGCCTTCAGATGCATCCCTTTTTCTTACAGGTGACTCACAGTTATCCTTCTCTATGGCTGAGTACTACCACAGTCTCTTTTATGTGTTTATCTTCTGATGTGCATATAGCCCACTTCCATAATTTGGCTCCTGTGGCTCTGGTGTCACAGCATGTACCTCTTTCAGGAAGGTACCAGGGGGCCGAGGAGACAGCTCAGTAGAATAAGCGCTTGCCTGGGAAGTGCAGTGGCCTGAGTTCCATCCCCAGTACCAGACACAAAAAAGGAAGGTACCCAGAATAGCAGGCATAGCTGGGTCAAATGGAACTTCTAGTTTTAGTTTTTTGAAGAATCTCCACAGTGTTTGCCTTAGTGTTGTCCTGGTTTACATTCCCACCAACAGTGAGGAAAAGTACCCCCCTCACAACCTGGCCAGCCTTTATTGTTGAGTCCTTGATGGTTGAAGGTGATAGCGGTTGTGTTCCTGGACTATCAGTCTCTGGGCAGATCAGGTTATACAGTAGAGGAGACAGAATTACACAGGAGACTCAAAGACTAGTGCAGGGTTTTTTTGTTTTTTTCTTGTACCAAGGATCAAACTGAGGACCTTGCACTTGCCAGGCAGGTGCTTAAAGCGCTGAGTTATCTCCCCGACCCCTACTGTGGTTACATTTAATGGACAGATTAAAACTAGGTTGGTGATAAAGAAATAGAGGCTACCATTAGTATTCACAGTTAATTATATTTTAGCATATTTATAATGTATCGGTCCTGCCTAATGATTATTTCTCTTTATTGCAATACTGTGATTGAACCGAGGGCCATCACACTGAGCTATACCCAGCCCTTTTTAAAAAAATCTTTTGTTTTTGAGACGAGTCGTTAAGTCACTAAGCTGCCCTGGCTAGGCTCAGCTTGCCAACCTCCTGCCGCAGCCTCCCTGAGTGCTGAGATAACAGACATCTGTTACCTCGCTCACTAAGCTGCCCTGGCTAGGCTCAGCTTGCCAACCTCCTGCCTCAGCCTCCCTGAGTGCTGGGATAACAGACATCTGTTACCTCGCCTGGCTTGATCGCTTTTCAGTCTAGGAAACCCAATAGCCCTCAGGAGTACCCTTACTGTCTAGGTGCCATTAGATCTGGTCTGGCATGAAATCACGGGAGCGAGCGTAGCTAACATTCTCGCTTTACAAGATGTGCTTGTGCCTGGCTCACACCGCCCAGGGTGGTAAAGCAGATTCCTAGGAGGAACCCTGGAGGGCTCCTGGGAGTCCTTAAGGGTGTTGTTCCAACTCCC